GGGGCTGCGCCCCCGCCCTCGTCCTCGGTCACCACTGGCCGGCTTGGGAGGGGGCCGGGGAACAGGAGGGAGCCCCCCAAGACACACCGATGTCGATAAAGGAACAAGGGAAAGTGCAAGAACATATTGTGGAAGTTGTGGGTTAGAGAACCCTTTACCTCTGATTTTGATAACGGACTCTAACCGCCACTGCGACCTCAACGCTTGGCCGCGCTCGCGCATGCGCATCCCCTGAGCACGTTCGGCAGGAGGGTTGGAGGCTCCTGGCGCGGGTCGGAAGGCCCAAAGCCCAGCACGAGCGCATGCGCACTGCGTGAACAGTGCTCCACTCAGTGGGTGGTTGGAGCGCTAAGCTCACCCGGGACCTGAAGCCTAGTGCGAGCGCATGTGCATCTCCTGAACGGTTTTCCAGGAGCGCGCGGAGCGACTGGAGGGCGATGCCCCAGGGAGAGCGCCCAAGGCCCACAGCAAGAGCTTACGCTCTGCAGGCCCCGAGGGTCCAGGGAGAACCCTACGAGAGAACAAGGAAATGGCCTGATCTCACTGACCTTCCTCTGGGACTTCTTGAGGGCGTGAAGCCTCCTCAAGGAAACACTAGAGGGGGGCCCTCCAGATGACAATTGATTTTCAAAATTGCAAACCTGCCATCCATGTATACTTTGAAACCACCTTAACTGAAAGACTCTGAGGCATTTATGCTCTTACTTCGTTTGGGTTGCATTTCTTTTTTGTTCGTGCTTTCCAAAAATTAGTGTGTCCTTTTCTCGTAGTTCATTGGAAGGTTCCATTAAAACACAGTTCTGGCAAAGAATTTCGGGCCTAGGAAACGCTAGAGGAATGATTTATCCCAACTGCATTCCTGGAGTTCTCTTATTACTGTACTGAGTATATTTATTTCCAGCACACAGCTCTCCCAATAAATGTTAGGCCACACATGTTTTCTTTTCAAAGCTTTGTTAACCTTTAACCAAGAATTGAGAGTTATGGTCAGTTATAGCCAACCTAGGAAGTACGATGGAAGTAATTTTACTTTCTCTTATTTTACATATGTTGCAGAATTTCAGTTGCTGATTTAAAAAAATAGATTCAACATACTAATTTGAATTTGCAATAGTTTAAAAATCTATCACCAGATTGTCTTACTGGTAATTTGCAGGATTAACATCAGACAGCCCTTCAACTGCCCAAGATCCTTCCAGTGCACAGACTCTAAGGACACCACACAAGGCGTCTCCCCAGCCCTCTAATGTTCTAGTATTAGATGAAAGAGCATATGTCTTCTGACCCTGGCCATCAGAAGTATGTTTTGCTGGGCAGTCAACACTGGCCCTGGGCTTTTTTAAAGAAATGATCAGAGGGCAGGGTCCAAAGTGCTTTTGGCTACGCATTTCCATACATGACCAATGTGATGGTTAATCTTGATTGTCATTTTCCTTGGCTTGAGTAACTCCCAGAGGACTAATAAAGCACATTTCTGGATGTGACAGGGTGGGTATGACAGTGTGACCTTAGGACTGTATCGGGTCCCTGGCCCCTTCCTCTCAGACACTTCTGCTCTGCGCATCCAGGATGTCATGAGTTGAGCAGCAGCGCCCCCCACCCCAGCTGCCCCGCCGTGCCCCCTGCTGTGATGTTTCACCCTTGGAGTAAGCCAAACACAGACTGAAACTTCTGAAATGCGAGCCAAAATAAATGTTTCCTCCTTACGTTCTGTGTATTTTGTCCTAGCAGTGGAAAGGCAACTAATATAACTAGAAGTCACAAATTATATTTGGGCTAATTTGAATATATCTATAACTGGGTTCTAGGACTATTGGAAAAGATAACTTTTCCACAATGTAATTTTTACATTATTGGTGAGGGGAAAAAAACCTATCAAAGGTGTGATAGTAGGTGACCAGGAGAATAAGCCACAAAGAGCACAACACTCTGACAAAGAAAAAGAAGGGATTTCTGTGTTGGATCCTGTAGGCTACATTGTGTGTTTGCTTGATGAACAGGGGCTTTGTATCAAGGGAGATCCTAAGTAAGGCTGCTATGCTGGAGAAGGCCCAAGTCCTGGCAGTCCAGGAGACTTGAAGAAGATACGAGAACTTCTTCCTAAGCGATGATGTGCACACAGCAACACTGTATCCTGAGAGAATCTTATTTCAAACGATTCATCTCCTCCCCTCCCTAACCTGCCTCATATTTACCAAATAAATTTGTAGAGAAAGTACAATGGATTTTTAAATTAGTCAAGAGCCTACTTCAACAGAAGGTTGTAGGGTGAGATGAGGGGTACAAAACAAATTGTACTGATGAGGAATTGAAGTCAGGAGACATCGATAAAACCACAGAGCCAGGAGTCTCAGCAATAATTTAAAAGTTGGCTAGAGTCACACAGCAGTAATGTTTTCACTGTATTATTTGAAGGGATCTTGAGGTTCTCCTTACTCGCCAGAGCTCTTCATGGAATGTCTCGCCCCACCCCCAGCCCAGCAGCCTCTGCCCCTCCCCCATGTAGAATGTCTGGACACCAACATTCTAGCCCTGTTGACTTTCGAACCTTACCTACCTGCAGTTGGATCTGAGTGAGGCCCTGGGCACAGGTCACTCTCTGGGTCCTGCCCTTCACTCTTCTTATGGTGGTAGCTGCCAGAGAGCTGTGGTCAGCCCCAAGACTGGGGGATGGCTTTAGAAGGTGGTAAGCCTGGAGGGTTATCTAATTACCTAGTATGCCTTAAACTGTTGGGAATTTGAATTTATCCCTTCCCTGGGTATAGGTGGTTGAGCTGATATAAAGAAAAGCATATACTGGACTTCACTAAGGACATCTCCACTGTGAGGGAGAGAAAAGTCCATGTCAGGATGTGACCTTTCATGGGGGCGAGGACTCTTTACACATATTTCAAGACACCTCAGGGGAAATATACTGGGTTGGGGGAAAGAATGGGAGGAAATTCATTGATCCTCTCTAAAAACAGACAGATGTCACTTCAAAAGGCTTGATAGACAGTGGTGGGATGGTGTCATTTTGGAGACGTGGATCTATTCAAGAGGAAAGCCTGAGTTCTCTGTCTTTCCTTCAGGAATCTGGGACTTGTGTGTCATACTGCTCTGAGGGATTTGACTGGAGTTCTCTGGATGTTAGGAAGGCAGTGGAGAGAAATGATCTTAGAAAACTGTTCAGTGGGACTGTCCCTGACCCAAGAGTGCAGTGAATATTCTTGTGAACAAGGCTAGAGGTTACTCAACTGCCACAGCCAGAGTCCCTAAGCACCTTCTCACTCAGAGAAGGCTCCTCCCTCAGTTCAAATTTCAGCTGTCTTACAACCGCAGGCAGTGCGGGAACTTCAACCAGCATAGGGCTTAGGTTTCCCTGAGTTGTTCTGAAATGTCATCTTTTTCATCAAAACAGGTCTTCAGAGGTTCTTAGTCTTGTCCACTATCAAAGGTGGATCCTCAGCCCTTCATTTCTCTGTTGACAGGAACACTGCACACCTTTCTGTCTGGTGCTTCCTGCACAGGAAGACATGGAGTGGTGTTGGTTTTCTATACAGGTTCTGTGATAGGTTGTTTCCATATTAAGAGAGGGTGATGAGTAGCTCACAGTTAGCAAGATCTTTTGCTGTTGTGTTACTACTGTCAGGACAGGTGTTCTGGTTATTAGGTACAGGTGTTATGGACTTTGGTCTCCTTGACCAGGGTCTGAATGAGGTCCTACTGACCAAGAATGGGTTCCAGGCAATTTTACCTCACCTGGCTCAGGCCAGGATCTACTGGGCTCTTTTCTTTCCATTATTAGGACCCCAAAGGAGAATTTCTGCAGATAGGTTCTAGTTCTCACACCCAATTTTGGTGATGAGCGGTTGTGAAAATCCTTTGCAAACTCCTGAAACAAACCCCAAACTACCATTACCTAGCTCTTTTTGGTAGAAACTCCTGGCTGTTGTGCTCAAGCAACCCAATGCCTATCTTCTAGCTCTGTCCCATGGGAACAGAACTTCTGGTGTCGTGGCAGGGACCACCAATTCCCAGGGACAGGACTGATCAGAATTAATCTCCTCATTAGTGTTTGTTGTGAGAGGTGGGTGTGATCCCTGGTGGGGTCATCTTTAGATTTCGTCAGGTGCTACTTTGGGGAAAAATTTCATTCAGGGGCTGCTGTGTTGTATTGTGGTCAGCAAGGCACAAAAGGCAGGAATTTACAAGGAGCATCAGGAAAAGGTAGTATTCCCCTAACAGTGACGGCAAACCTTTTAGAGGTTTCAATGATAATATACAGCTCCCGGTTTCATGCATGCCATAGGTTCACCTCTACTGTGCCTGTACTGAGGGAAAGCTGAGAAGCTGGTTTGGACAAGCAGGAATCAGGGAATCTTAATGACCTACAAGAAAACTCCTTGCTGGAGGAATTCTGAATGGGAGGAAGAGAGTATGAAAATTTACTTGGGGATGTTTACAAGCTGTAAAATATTCCTGTCTCATTCCTGAAGGGGTGAGATTTATCTTCTGATTCCCAGTGACTGGGGAAGAAGAGTGCGTCCTTTCTGTGGTTCCCTCCTCCATTCACTCCTTTCATTTCTCTCCACAGCGCCTCCAGTGCTGCAGCCAGATATGCCCCTGAACAATGGTGTCATTCTGTCTCCTTCTTGCATCTTGCCCCCTCTCCCACCTGTCCCAGTCCCGGTACAGCAGCTGCACTGGAAACTGCTGCCGCCACCCTTTGGGAACGCACCACTTCCTCAGCCTAAGCCTCTGGTGCTTTCTCCTTTCCCCGGGATACCTGTGGTAGCAGGACACGGTGGCTATGGCTTGAAGGGAGCTGGACCTTGCATCATCACTGCCCAAGCAGGGACAGCAGGGAGGCCACCAGGGTCTCTGTTGACTCAGGTTGTCCTCACTCAGGGCCCACTTATCATTGGAGCCCCAGGGGTCCTGCATAGGGTTGTGCAGCATCCTGCTCCCTGGGTGGTGAGAGCTCCGCCCATGACCACCATGGTGGCTGCTCCAATTGGAGTGAACGCCTATGCTGATAATAGGGTGCGGCCTCGGGGCCTTCGTCCTCCAACCATACCACCAGTGCCCTCTAATACATCTGGGGCAAACAAGGTGCCACCACCACGCTGGGACTGTGGGGAGGGTGGCCTGGCCACCTCCCAGGCCAATGCCTCACCAGATCACACCTACAAGTCTGCAAGAGTCTATGAGAACTTCCGGCATTGGCAGTATTTCAAGACCCTGCTCCGGAGACACCTTCCCCACACTCCTGATGTGGAAGCGGTGTCCTGCTTCCTCGTGTGAGTGCCCTCCCAAGTCCCAGGAGCTCACCGGGCAGCTCTAGTGCAAGGAAGGAAGAGGGGTGACAGGAGTTTAGAACTTGCAGGAAGTGCTGAGGGGGATGTAGCAGAGTCAGAAATATTTATGTAATGCCAGGGTAGGAAGAGCGCCTGATCTCAAGACACCACTGTTCCTCTCTGACAGCACCCAGTGGTTCTTTTTCAATAGTTATCACCATGACGCCCAAGACTCAGGTCAGAGAAGCTTCCTGGTAATATGAGCCACCATTTGAGTTTAGGTTTCTCACAACATGCCATACTTGCTCTGCTTATTTTTTCATATTCCCTCATAGACCTGTGGATGCATCCCAGAGGTCACCACAACCAGTGTTGGGGCTATGAGTTGTAGAAACTGAACGAAAAACTCACACTTGTTCCCACCCCTGCTGTTGTAGGGAACTCCAGTTAGGAGAACAAGTTAGTGCAGCAGTCACATGGAGTCACACTTAGGCCCCTAATACCATTTTGATCTTCAGCTACCATTTGAGTCTGCACCCCAAGCTTTATCCCTGGGACCAACGTCGTTGAGTGTCCTGGCCCTATCAGCTCAGGCTGCCAGACATAAAACCATGGACTTGTGAATTGAAACCACCCACATTCATTTCTCACAGTTCTGAAGGCAGATTCTGTGAGTGATGAGGACACTTTTCCCCTGGATTGAGAAGGAGACAGTCTAATCTGTGTCCTCACATGGCTGAGAGAGCTTTGGGGTCTCTTCTTCCTTGAAAGACACTAATCCCATTCTGACAGCCCCACCTTGGTGACTTCATCTGACCCACATTACCACCCAAAGACCCATCTCCTAAAACCATTACACTGGGGGTCAGTACTTCAACACTTGCATTGTGGCAAACATCCTGTCCATAATCCACAACATGACCAAAGAGGACACAAAGGAAAGTAAGAGTCACCAATGCAGCATTGGTGTCAATGTCCAGGGCTTGATAGGTTGTTCTGGACGCTGTCAAGATCAAAGAAGAGAGGGTTGTGACAGGGTTGTGCAGGGCTGAATTAGCTGAGAATGGAGGGTGAGGGTAGTGGATGGCAACTAATTGTGAACAATTACAGGCCAATGCTTCGGTCCCTGTCCCGCCAGCAGCCGACCATGAGTGTGGAGGAGGGCTTGCGCATAGGTGTGCGGGAATGGGACCGCAGGAGCAACAGTGAGCGCACAACATTCTACGAGGTGGCTGCAGAGTGAGTCAGGGACCCTGGGCCTGAGTTGCAAGGGCCCATGGACTGTACAGCTGAGTTCAATAGGGCTTGTGAGCCGCACAACATCAGCACAGTGTCCATTGGCACAGGCCCCACCCCTGGACACCTTGGGCCTCAGGAGTCTGTTCTTTCTACTTGGAGGGCTGGGAGTTCCTGGTCTGGTGGCCCCAGAAGCTCTGGCCTCATTGTTGATGGGGTTTCTTTCAGCACTGGGGGCTGTGTAAGGGGCATAAATGCTACTATCTTTGTGCTGGTCCCCTGTTGACAAAAAAGGGACCATCTCTGTCCATGAAAGGGATCAGATTATAAGGGTCCCAGAAAGGGGTGGGAGAGGGAAGAGCATGATCAGGGTGTGGAGAAGAAGACAGCCTCTTGGGTATCCCAAGGACATATCCCTGCCATTACTGCCTTACTGCACCTAATCTGTTCTAAACAAACAAACACACAAACACACAAACATAGAAGCAGGAAAACAGGCCGCAGGAAAGTAACCTAATCTTCTCTGCTTGACTCCTGCTTTCTCCTCATCCCAGGACATCATTCTGGACTCACAGTCCCAGCTCAGGATCCCTGGATGGGGTGGGGACTCCTGGTGATCTCTGCCATAACTTATTTCCTGACCAGCGTCTGGTGGTCAGCTCCTGTGTGTAGCTCTGTACAAGGCCAGCACAGACTAGAAAGGGGTCATCTATGGGTTTTGCGGGTCACCTCCGACTAACTAGACCAGTGCACCCACAGCGCTGCTCCTCATTCCCATTGGCTTAGCCATTATGCCTTGGCGTCCCTCTTAGCTCAGACTATGCCCCCTCCCCACATTCCAGGTTCATGAGGTTTGAGGCTACTGAAGAGATGAAAGATCCTAGGTTGCTGCTGATGGGGAGACTTCTGGACTGTCCACTTCCAGCCCCACGGAGGTCAGATCCTCCAAGATCCTCTGATGTTGTACAGCAACCAGGTAGGGCTTCCCACCTCCTCACGGAGGACTACAGCAGAGGTCAAAGGATTAGAGGGAAGGTGTTCCACTTCTGTTTGGTTTACAATTGGGAAGGGAGATTTGCTTTTGAAAGCAGAATATTCCCCAGAGCCCGGGATTTCTGCACACCTTGGTCTTGAACAGGGTATTGATTAACTATGTCTGTTCCCACTATCTGCCCAGGACTTAGGGGCAGGGTGCGGGGAGTAGCCTGCATTTCAGTAGCTCTACATGGCTTCCTGTGTGACTGTCTCTGCATTCCACCTCATGCAGAGTCTCCCCTCACAGGTTCTGAGAGCATCCAGACTGATATTAGGTCTCCTAAACCCAGCTATCCCCACTAGGACTGGGGTTTAGCAGGAGCCCCTATCCATGCACCTCTTCCTCCCTGTCCTAGGGTGCAGCCTGAGGCAGACAGGCTCCAAGGCTCAGGCTCCCTGCCCCTCAGCACGCAAATGCCAGCAGTCACAGGAGACCAAGGTGCCTGATGACATTCCTCCTGAAGCCATGAGGGAATACATAGACACTATGGACTCGCTGGAAGTAGGTCACCTCTTGGCCATGGGGCAACCTGATGAAAACCAGAAAGAGGAGCAGCAGCAGGAAGAGCATGAGAAATACCCAGACCCAGATCTCTTGAGTTACTGTGATGAGCTATGCTCCCAAGAAGACTTTGTTACCAAGGTATTCTGGGACTGGAGGCCTGGTGTTCTTAAAATTCCAGGAATAGCATCCCAAGCCTTTGGAATTTAGCCTGATTCCCTAAGTGCTCAATAATATGTCTCTCTCTCTCTCTCTTTCTCTCTCTCTCTCTCTCTCTCTCTCTCTCTCTCTCTCTCTCTCTCGCCCCGACTCTCCCTCCCTCTCTCTGTGCATGTATGAATGTATGTGTATCTGTGTATGTGTGCTTGCTTCACTTCATGAGAATATGTCTGAGTATGTGAGTATACCTGGTAGACATGATTAACAACTTCATGGTGCAGACCAAAATGGACTGGGCATTGTTTCTTGCTTTCCTGGTGCTTCCCCGTGGCTTAGAGTTGCACCTTACCAGGGACACTCATAGTTTCTTCTTCTTCTGATCCAGGTGGAGGCTGTTATCAACCCCCAATTCCTGGTAGAAGCAGAATCTACAGACATTGAGAGAGACATCATCTTGGCTGTAGGACAAACGCTAGAAGAGGAACACAGACTCACTCCTGAGCAGGTAGGCCAGGGGCATGAGGGACACCAGGTGAACAAGGGATGGAGGGACACCAAGAAGGCAAGGGCAGGGACACCAGGATAACCAGACAATGGGGGGGGCAACAGGCAGACAAGGGAGACGGGCACCAAGTAGAAGAGGGGAGCACAAGGGAAGAGGGAGACAAGTGACAGAAGGACACTAGGTGGTTATAAAGGAAAGACATCAGGTAGACGGGGAGGGAAGGACACCAGGAGGATCATCAAGATGAGGAGGGGACCCTGCACACCAGGCCCATGTGACTTTGTCCAGCCCTACCCAGCTGGGAGTTGCTGCCTTCTACAGAGGGGCTGCACCCAGATGGGGGATTCGCATGGGGACAGGAAGGGAGGAGACCAGAGAGTGAGGAGGGCCAAGGGTGCAGAGCTGGAAGGAGGCCCGGCAGGGTGGTCCCAGGGCATCAGCCTCTGTCTCTGAAACCAAGATGGGTGAACTTCCAGAGCCTTTCTCCTGCCCAAATGCCCTCACCCCCACCCCGCTAGCCCTCTTCATGCCTGGTGCAGACCCAGCAAGTGCACATTTCCTCCTGCAGCTGGTGGAGAAGCGCCTCCTGGGCTCCGAGGCAAAGGGAGATGTGTGCAGGCCCTGGAGCCAAGCTGCATCCCAATCTGCTACCCACCAAAGTGCAGAGCAAGATGACTGTGACCCTGAGCAAAGGGCCGACAAGGAGACCTGCCTCACTCCAAAAGCTTCCCAGGTCCCCAAGAAACTCCAGGCCACAGATGAAGAATTTCCAGGGTCTGAGGTCCCTGCTATCCTGCACAGGCAACAAAGCCCTGATCCACTGGGCACCTCTGATCCCAGCAGTATTCCCCAGGACCTGGCACCCAGATGTGCTCTGGGCCTCAGAGGCTCCTCTCCTACTGTGGAACCATTCGAGCCAGTGTCTGGCCTGGGTGAGGATGAGGGGGACTTCTCCAACCTGTTCTTCCTCCTGGCATCCCCTCGCCAGCTGCTGCCCTGGGAATGGCCCCAGGCCCCAGGCCCTGAGGTGGACCTCCTGTGCCCTGAAGGTCCAACACCCCAGGCCTCACCTCCTCAGGGAGGAGACCTCAGCCCCAACTTTCCTCCATCTGCCAAGTCCAAGAAGCGAGTCCTCACAGGAGGCTCAGCTCCTGTGAGAAAGATGTCCTGCCCAGGGCCTTCCTGCGAGGTCTCTGGAGGGCAAGATTTGGCTCAGGGCCCAGTTCCACCCTTATGGCCTCAGAAGGGGAGATGTAACAAATTAGGCTCCCAGAGGAGGAGGAAGAGGCACTGAAACCATAGGGTTAGTGGGCAGACTCTGGGGTGCCTGTCCCTCAGGTGGGCTTTGGCCAAATTTTACCCTGGCTGCATCCTACACCCCACGAGCCAGACATCTCTGCTCTTGGGCATGGCGAGGTAACAGAAGTGGGTGGGTTGGAAGGGAGAAGCCTGCCTGGAGGGGTGCAGGCTGTTCTTTGGGGGTGTTGTTTGATATAAATAAAGATAATTGAGTGGAAAATGCTCTCAGGGTTGCTGCCTCCTGTCTCAGGCTTTGTCCCCTCTGGGGAGTGAGGGCAGCAAGCAGGGAAGGGACCTAAGGTACACAGATACCTGGCTGAGGTCTTCCCTCCACAAAGGTTGTTCTTTCCGCTGCTGGTGGGAGCAGGCAGGCCGAACGCTCCCTCGAGTCCCCTTCACCACCCGACTCACAAGGCCTTATTTTCTTAGGCCTCCTGTGCACATCCTGACATTATCTGCATCCCTTAAAAGTCCCCTTCTGCCCACTGTATCATTAATCAGTGTGCAAGCATGGAGCCTGCAGCTGGTAGTTTTCTCAGGGTCCTTCTTTCTGCTTCCTGAAAGGGGCCAAGCGGCAAGGCTGGACCAACCCTCATCTCTGCCAAAGATTTTCTAAGTGGGTGGTTTGATTAGAGTACAAGGCTCCTTACAGGAAGAAGCCGCTGCATCTTGGGGAAACAGAGTAACCCCAGCAGCAAGATGCTCACTTATCACCCTAATAATGAAATGCCTTATTTTCTGACAGTCACAAGTGGGACTCCCCCAGGATCTGCACGTTTATTCTAACTCACAGTTGCAGGAGGTCCTCTGGGTTTCTGTGCACCGAGCAGGACTGATGAGGGTCCCCGGTGTGTGGGACCTTGGCCAGGCTGTCCTTCCAAGGGTTCCAAGTAGCCAAGATGCAGCCTGATCGGCACCATAAATGCTTTTGCTACAAGTTATTTTTTTAAAGTTTCACAAATATGTTCACATAAAATGTACCCACCTATTCAAATATTACATTTCTGCGACTTGCAACTAAAATTTTCAACTACTATTGCAGTCAACATATTTACAGATGTCTCAACCATCTCAATGTGATCCTCTCTTCAAAAAGGAATCACCTGACACTTAGCTACCACCACTTCTCTCCCCAACTTTGTTGCACCGTAAGCAAACACTAATTTAGCTTTTGTCTCCATATTTTTCCTAATTAATGTGTGCCTCATTTATTCTTTTTCCAAGTCACTTTTCAGATGTAAGTGTAGTGCTTATACATACAATATTATCATATGTTATTAAAATACGCAGTCTCTGTGACCAAGATTTAATGACACATTATGTTTAGTGCATCACCCACAACATTCTTAATGGAAACTGGCCTTCTTCCTATTCATTTTTAAAGCTGTTCAATGTGGATTTGGGGAACATTCTGCCTCAGTCTCCCACATTGGGATTATGGGCATGTGCCTCTGTACCTGGCTGAAAGTGGAATTTTTAATCCAAGTGTATGAGATTGACAAATATAATCCCTACTGCTACATTTTGTTGCTACTGTCTTGATTGATTTTAAGGTACCAACAGTTGATTTTATATTTTCAGTGCAAATGTCAATGCAGATGTTCCAGGATAAATCATGACATTCAGGAACATTAACACTTGAATATTTCAACATTGCTCTGTTTGTGATCAATCACGAAAATCCTCTTTTATGATTATTTTTGCTGATACTAGTATCTGACAAGGTCTGTGGCTCACGTTGTCAAATAGCTAAAATCTTCCATTTTCACTATCAAATTTAAATATTACTCCATATAGAGTCAGCACAGAGATGACACTTCCATAGAAATGGACAAGCTTTTAAAGGGTTACTAATCCTATGTGTGCATCTATGCTTGAGGATGTCAGTGTCTTCTACACGTGTGCATGTCTCAGATGCTGAAAGGGACCAGTTTTGTCCTTCCCAGATTTTCCATAAGTTTATAAAGGCAAGCGTGCTCATTTCTGTGGAGCATGTTGGCACACACCTGTAAATTTCAGTGCTCTACAAGCCTGTGGTAGGAAGGTAGGGCTGTGAGTCCAACCTGGTGAATTTAGCAACTTAGCAAGACTGTGTCTGAAAATAGAAAATAAAAAAGAGCTGAGACTGTGTAGCTCAGTGCAAAGGCCTTGGGTTCACATCCCCAGTAGTCCAAAAAAATCAGTGCTCACTGCTCTGATAAGAAAGCTAGGAATAATCAGCACATTATGGCAAAAAAAAAAAAAAATCTCTGGAGCCACAGTGTTTTTGAACGATGAACCTGAGGGGGAGGATGTAGTTAATTTCAGTTTTCCTCTAAGATGACATCATCTAGTGGCTTCAGTAAGAGTATCTATGGTAAGTGTCCAGCCTCAGGAGTGTGGGAGATGTGACCACTCCCCTCCAGGTGTGAGGATGAGCAAAGCCTGGGGCCAGGAAATGGCAGTTCAGCATTCCAGTAGAAAGTACATACTAGGTAACACTCAGGGGAGGTGTACCTGTAGCTAGGACAGAGCTCTTGTACCTGATACTCAGGCAAGATACTGATGTCAAGGCAGTGACAGCCAAGAACCAGAGGCTCCCACCAAAACCATCGCCTTCTCAGCCCTAACCCAGTGCCCTCTATCCTACATAGCATCACCACTCTTCTGCCTGAGCAGAGGAAGTTATCTTTTATCACAGAAGGTGGGATGCGACTTGTTGGCCCACTCAGGGGGCCCAAAGGAGATTTTTGCAGGTAATGTCCCCAGTTAAAAGAACACATGTGTTGCTGGGCATGGTGGTGCATGCCTATAATCCCAGCACTCAGGAGGCTGAGGCAGGAGGTTCATTGTGAGTTTGAGACCAGCCTGGGCTACAATGTGAGCTCAAGTTCAGCCTGAAATGTATAGCAAGACCCTGTCTCAAAAAGACAAAAAAAAAAAAAAAACAATGAAAACACTAAGAACACATATGTGCAAGACATCAGCAACAAAGGCAGGCAGCATGGAGCAGAGCAGAGCACAAGGGTGCAAGAATGCAAGAGCTGACTGCATCTTTATTGTATAATTTTTATACAGGTTGTTATCTCATATTTACATTCTTACATAGTGCCATAAACAGCGCATGTATGTTTACCTGTGCTAAATTTTGGTTACATAACTCTATTCCTCTATGCACTTGTGCTACACAAGTGGGGTTATGTTCTCAGATGTCCTTAGACTCCCCTGAGCTTTGAAGCAGTCCGAGTGGTTTCCCATAGGACTGGTGCCATTTATTCTTCCCAAATTTCCAAAGTAAATATATCTTTAGGAGTTGGGACCCCAGATCTCCATCCCTAATTTCAGACTTCAAAATTTTATTGTCTCAAACTCAGGTCTTGGGGTTGAGATATTGTAGGGACAGTTAGAGGGGGTGTAGGTAGGGGTGAAATAAGGCATGACCTGGATGGCTAATGGTTGTGTGTTTACAAGTTTATCATACTCTATGTACTTGAGGAAACTATTCTTTGTGAAACTATAATGTACACTTGCTATAACCACTTATCCCCCTGATCTTTTTCCTCAACTCAGAAACAAAGGCTAAGACCCTGATTGGCCTAGACACTGATTGATTACACCAATCAGTGAAACAGTTATTTTAAAAAAACAGTTTACTCCTATGAGTAGAGTAGTCCCCTGACCCTTTGGAATTTCTTTGGAATTCACCTTGCCTTGTAGCACATCCCATCTGCTGGCATCTGTTCCTCGCATTTGCAACAACATAAATAAACTTTTGCCTGGCATTACTTTCACTTCTAGCTTCTTCTTTCTGTGTGGAGCCTGAGTTCCTTATTCCCCGCTTGTGGTCTTTGGCTCTGAGCCAGTCTAATCTCACTTCTCCATTCTTCCTTGGAGTGAAGGTGAGCAACTTGGAGATGGGGCCTACAGGAGGTTGTTGAAGACAATAACCACCTGCCTGATGCTACAGTGTAAATCCTTACATATATTCTGTTTCTCTAGAGCAGAGGTCCCCACTCACTGGGCCATGGATCAGTACCAGTTGTGCCCTGTTAGGAACTAGGTCACAGAGCACCAAGTGAGCAGCAGGCAAACAAGCAAAGCATCATCTACGTTTATAGCTGCTTCCCATCGCTCACATTACTGTCTGAGCTCTGCCTCCTGCCAGATCAGTGGCAGCATGCACTCAAACCCTACTGTGAATTGTGCATGTGAGGATGTAGATTATGTAATCCTTATGAAAATCGAATGCCTGGTGATCTGAGGTGGAGCTGAGGCAATGGGAGCAGCTGCAAATAGAGACTCACATCAGCAGAGAGGTGTAACTGCACAGAGCAAAATAAATCAGTTGCTTGCAGCCTCATATTAAATCCCTCTCCATGAGTGGCAAGTGACAAGCTGCATCTGGTGGCAGTTTTAGTGTCACATGTGTTGATGTACTTCAGCTGTACAGCTACATCTGGTGCAGGGCTTTACATCAGAATCGACACTTGTTTTAGTCCATGCTTGGCCTACGCATTATGTTATTTACCACTTCTGTCTGCACCTCTTTCCTACACTGCAAACTTGTCTTAGTCACCATTCTGGTAAGCCTACAAACTAACTCTAGCCAAAATGAGTACAACATAAACATTATGGGAGAGCTTCTTTGAAAACAGGCCCTGTGATAAGATAGCAGAAGATTCTAAGACTACCAAAAAAAAGTTGCAATTCAAAGAAAATACCAAGTTTCTTACTTAAATTATAGATTCACTGCAACAGGTGATTCATATTATCTAAACCCACTTTACTATTTGGCAACTTACAATCCAAAAAAACCATAAAACCTTCAAAACTACTTTGCTTCATGGAGACCAAGCACCCTACATGAAAGCCTTTGGAGTTTTTCCAAAGAAACTAAGCTTTTAAGGAGCAAACGCACACGGACTTTCATTCTAGTAATTAGTTGTTCTGTAAGTGGGGGCCCCGGACCAGCAGCATTAGTTTCTCTGAGGACTCTTAGACATAATGACTTGGAGCCCTGGGGGTGGGGGCTATAATACAAGCCCTCCAGGTGACTCTTGTGCATTCTGATGGTTGATAACTACAGCTTCAGGCAATAAACTATGAGCATTCTGTTTTGTCCTGAATATAGTATAAGAACAGGGCTATAATGGTTTCGATCTACAATGTCCCCTAAAGACCAACTGATGGGCCCTTTGGAAATAATTGGATCATGAGGACATGAGAGCTAACCTCATCAGTGGG